GGGGGTGCTTGCAAATATACAAATCATAAAAAGCTTAACAAATAAACGCAGAAAAACGATTGCTCAGTGTGATCATTCAGTCACATTTGTTCATGATCCAACCAATGTGCACAGCAGTCATGGAAATGTACAAAAAACACATTATATATTGATCTAAATAAACGTAAACAAACTCATAAAAAAAAAAAATCACTTACCTCTTTGCTGACCCTTAGACATGATGGAAGATCGTTGGTTCGCTGATGCTTGAACTTGAAGTTGAAAAACGGTGAACGAACAGTGAATGCAAATGCAAAGACAATGAAGCGCGCGAAAATTGTCGTAAAAACACCGGAAGATTATCCCCCCATCCCCGGGGACCGATAAACAATGCGCAGAATAGATAAGTAACAGCATCATCGGAGCACCGCATCATATCACTTTACCGGTAAAAACATCGCACCAAAGCGTCGTGCCATCCCGTTGGCTAAATTTAGATGTAGTCACGTGATCGGAGGGGTGTTCCGGTCTGACATCGCACATGACAGCCGCCTTGCCTAAAAATAATTTGCATCTTTCTGCAGGTGTGTTCCCATCTGACGTCACACAAAATGGCCGCCACACCTAAAAATAGTTTGCGTCTTTCTAGAGGTGCGTTCAGATCTGACGTCACACAAAATGGCCGCCACACCTAAAAATAGTTTGCGTCTTTCTTTCTAGAGGTGTATTCCGATCTGACGTCACACAAAATGGCCGCCACACCTAAAAATAGATTGCATCATTTCTACTTTTAATCGCATGTTACGAATATTGCTGATCTAGAATCTAGATCTACATCCCACAAATAAGATGAGAAGGTACTTATACCAAACAAAAGTTTCAATAATTTAGAATTTTAGGGGTGACTTCAGGCAGGGCTTTCAGCTCAAACTTGGGGGGTGACAACTTTTAGTAAAAACCCAAATTATCAAATAGGCCCAAAGTCATTTGAGGTTACCTATTGAATTCAAGAATATTATTTCACAAATCCCAAAGAGTTTCGTTGGAACAGTTATTACATCTAGATCTAAATCTAGATCTAGATCTCCAACCCATAAAACACACTAACAACTAACAGTTCTTACGAATTGCCTGGAGTTGGAGTCGTCACCTTACAAACAAGTCAGAAGCAGTGAAGGTCATCATCATGTTAGATCACATTTCCTCAGTGTATTTTGAGAATCGTTCAGGATTTGGCAATGCATACAACAAATCATCTTACTTTTTAGAATGTTATAAAAACATAAAAATTAAGTGCGTTTACAAAAGAACATTTAAACAAGGTTCTTAACTGAACTGCCATTGCACAGACCTGGCCCTAACCTAGCAGTAGCCCAGTGTGCTGAAACGAGAACATCAGACACCACACCGGCGTTTTTTCCACGATGATTATGATAACATTCACGCAACACAAACGATAAAAAAACATGTAAAACTACCTATGAAAACAAAATGCATACCTTTGGCAGTGTCCTAGGAAGCTGCCTTGCTAGGGAGGATGCCAGCCTTACTGATAGCATCTTGAAGGATATTCCTTGCACTGTCTCGAACAAAATGGCAGCAAGCAAGGAACAACTCCGGACAACAGAGGGCAAGGGCTAGTTGGCATGCGCACACTCTCTAAACTAAAGTTATACAATATTGTAGTAATACACTTTTTATCGATAAAAAATAAAACACAATATTAATAAAATATCTTTTTAT